AGTTGTGGCTCCTGGGCTCCAGAGCACAGGCTCAGTAGTTGTGGCACATGGAATTATTTGCTCTATGGCATGTGGAACCTTCCCAGATCAGGGATCGAACCCATGTGTCCTGAATTCTGGGGTGGATTCTTTACCACTGAGCCACCAGGGAAGCCCCCTTCTAATTTTATGTTGCCTTTTAATCTGTGTATTCTCTTTACCGCTGTTTCATTATCTATTAATCTGATGTTGTTAACTCCTTTAATGGTTTAAGGAACGAAGAGCATTTCAGGCAAAATTTTTTTTAAAACATCAGATGATAACAACAATAATAATACTAGCTAATTTATTGACGTTGCTATGAACCAAGCACTGTCTTGGGCTTAACTTAGGTTATTTACCCTAAATAGGAGAGAAGTAGTATTATTACCAGGTCCACTTTACAGATGAAAAAACTGAGACACAGAAAGTAATTGCAGTTTACCTAGCTAAACTATTTGATTTTTCAGATTTTACATTTTAGAGCAGCACTAATTTGTCCAATGTCATACAACCAAGAGATGAATGCAAGATTCAAACCCAGATATTTTGAATAACATTTTACAAAAGAAGAAATAATTATGTTTAATTTCTAAAAGAAGCAGAGGCATTCTGATCTTATAGGCTGAGCTTAACATCCTTCAGCTTTAAAGGAGATGTCAATTGTACAATCATGCCTGATGATCCATATTTACAGAGAGGAATAAGATGTTAAAAGTCAAAAGGACTGTTAATCCAAATTGGCTTTTGGTCTTTAAATATGAATATATCCATTCATTCACTCACTCATTCACTATTCATTAGCTGCCACCAATGAGGCAGGTGCTGGGAAGAGGTGAAGCAGACATAGTTCCTGCTGTCCAGGAGCGCAGGTGCAATAAAGGAGAGTCAGACAGGTAAAGGGCATCTTGGACTTATGAGCTGGCTGACAGAACCAGAGCAGGGCGTGGCATGATCATTCCAAGAGCGGCTTAGCTCTTGGCCCCTGTGTCCATCTGATAACAGGAGTGCTCATTGCTCAGTTGTGTCCAATTCTTTGTGACCCCATAGATTGTAGCCCACCAGGCTTCTCTGTCCATGGGATTTTCCAGGAAAGAATACTGGAGTGGGTTGCCATTTCCTCCTTCAGGGGATTGTCCTGACTCAGGGATTGAACCGGTGTCTCCTACGTTTCCTTAATTTCCTGCATTGGCAGGTGGATTCTTTACCACTGCAAAGCCTGATAATGGGAGTAGGAAGAATCAGCTCCCTTACAGGGCTGTTGGATTGATTTCATATGTAGAAAGCTCTTAGCCTAGCCAGGCACAAAAGCCTCCAGGACAAAGCAGCCTTTGGCTCTTAAGGTATAGTGGATGGCAGCCTGGCCATCTTGCTCTGACACACACCTGCACTCATTTGGACACAAGTTCTCACAAGCTCTCTACTGCCCCCTCCTAGCTACTCCGCAGCACCGAAGGCTTACAGTCTATCGACAGGCCTGGCGCTTCCTTTCTGCATGCGGCCATCTCACGCTCAGTGTCTCTCTGAAGTACATCGCCCACACAGGATGAATATTCCTTCAAGAGGCACTTGAAAATCTTTTACAGTGTCTGGCCCACATAATGCTCCCCAGGCATTTTTGCCATATTTGCTCTGCATCACTTATCTCTTTGGCACTTCAGCAAGGCAGTTCACCACATGATTCCCCTGCTGCAAAATGGATCGGGTTCCTGCTTGGGCAGGTCGAAGGAAAGACCCAATGAGAATTGCAAAGGGGAAGCTTCAAGTACACTCCTGGCTGAAGTCAGTGAGAAAACATGTGCTGCACCTGCTCGGCATCAGCTGGGAATCGTCTATCTCTTCGGTTTTGTGCTATGGCTAAATAAGAAGCAATTAATCATTTTCTCACCAACCCTAACTCATATTTAATAGTTCCCTCTCAAAGTCTGTTTTGTCATGCTCTCAGCAGAGTCAGTCAAACACTACAATTCCTTTCTAAATATTCCTGCAGCCAGATGGCAGGAACACTAACTGTGACGTGGCAAAACGCGCCTAAAGATAACTTGGTGATGCATAATCACGCTGGATGGCACTCGTCAAAGCAGATCCATCCAGATACCTCTTTAGCTGCCCGACTTAATCCAGCTTCTTCAAACCAAAACTTTCCAGTTCCAAAAGCAAGACACATTCAACTCTGCAATGTGGTATTGGCTGCTAAGACGAACACGATTCTACTCCTCTGGGTTCTGCATTTTAGGCAGAAGTATAAAATCACTAGAAGAACACATTTGAGGACACGTTTCTTAAAATCGTTCTCTAGATAAAATGTTCCTGTACCCTCAAGTTTCAAATATTTCCACACCAAGTGTAAGTATGTTTATAACACGTTTGCTGGAAAACAAATTTCTGTCCTTCTGCTGAGTTATTTTTTTTAACTTAAGCATTAATAAACATATATTTATAAATTCTAGACTGTACGGAAGTTGACTATTATTCCCTAGTGAAAATCCTATATGTTTTTTTCTAGAGTGAATTATGTTTTGCTTTTCAGATCTTTTCTAGGTTGTATTGTTTATTCTTTGTGTTTATTTAACTCACTTTCAAAATCACAACCTGTACTTTATGATTTCTGAACAATAAATCCTGAAAACAGTGTTGCCAGGCTAGCCCAGCTGGCTTTCTCCTGTTCCTAAAACTGTACGTTCTTAGATACACACACACTTCCTTCATCCCGTCTGCTGCTGGCTAGCTTCAGTTGGTGACATGATCTCACACTCACAATTATATGAAAACAACAGCAACTCCTGGAAAGGAACCAAAAGGGGGAACGGCGGGAAGCCAGCCTTCAAGTATCTGTCATCCTGATAGTTCTGCCCTGATTCTAGTGGCTGAAAACTGCCTATCTGTGGTTGCATGTACAGAATTTGAGATCTGTGTACCCAAGTTCTCGACCCTCCACTCCCCTGAGTAAGGTATTTAACCTCTATGACCTTTTATTTTCTCCTCCATAAAAACGGCACAATAACAATATTGCCCTTAAGAACTGTGAGTCATATGAGGTCGTTTATGTAAAGGCATTTGGTAAGGCACTCTGCAGTCTGTATTTCATTTCTCATTATGGCTAAACTTTCTTTGCTCCCTGTCCCTTTTATATTATTATTATTCATTAATTTTTCTGATTTAGTTTTTGTGGTTTTTAAATGTATCTCTAAAATGCATTAGCTAGAAAACTATACCAGTCTGTGTGCTACCACAGTGAGTGGATTTTTAGCATTAAATTCTTATTTATTTTTTATTGAGGTAAAACATAAGTCAAGTGCATAAGTCAAGAACTTCCCTGGTAGCTCAGATGGTAAAGAATCTGCCTGCAATGTAGGAGACCCAGGTTCGATTCCTGTCTTGGGAAGATCCCCTGAAGAAGGGCATGGCAGCCCACTCCAGTATTCTTGCCTGGAGAATTTCAGAACAGAGGAGCCTGGTGGGCTGCAGTCCATGGGATTGCAGAGTCCAACACAACTAAGTGATTTTCACCTTTCATAAGTGCATAAACCACACAGAAATAACTTTACAAATATCTAAATGTGTGCCCCTGTATCACTACTTAGGTCAAGATGGGGAGCAATTCCAGCATCTCTGAAGCCTCCATCCCTTTTTGTCTAGGCCATTATCAGGCCCAAAGGCAGCCCCTCATCTATGCTTCATCTCCATGGATAGCTTTGCTAAAGTTTACAGAAAAAGTTTTTTTTCAGGGAAGGCTGGAGTCCCTGTGATAATGACTATTGCTGACCACAAGAAATGTGCGACCAATCTTTCCTCTAAAGAGATAAAGATTCTGGAAAGGAGGAGAGAGGCACCAACTTTCTAAATCACACAGATCATGCAAAACAAAGCCCTCATTTTGCAGTCAATGACCCCCAAGCTCGGAGAGGCGAAGTGGTAGCCCATCTTCCTGCTACAGAGTAACTTTCCTTCCAAACAGAGCCCATTACAAAGCACTCCGAGCTTCGGGGATGGGGATGCTTTGCGCGCGCCCCAGAGCGTCAGGACGGCTCCCCCAGCCTCTCCCTACGGAACTTCTCTCCAGGGAGCAGAGCGTACTGGGGCCCCACGCGGCCCCCGCTCCCGTCGCAGGCACACCCACGCGGCTGGCAAGCCACGCTCAGAAGGCTCTGTTCCTGAGAGCCTGTGCCCGCTGCCCACGGGGACAGGGCTGTGCTCCCCGTGCTCCACCTCCCACCCGGGGATCCGGAGTGGCCTCTTCGCCAACCCTGCTCCCCCATCCCCACTCCTTCTCGCCTCCGGTGTGTATTGAGGGAGGGTGCCATAGTCTCTGCCACCTTCTCCCTGGTTCCTCCAAAGGAGATTTTAAAACCCATGTGTGGACAAACCTAAATCGCTGGAGCACACACTACTGGCTTCAGGGGCTTGGAGATGAGCACTGGGAAGGGAGTCCGCAGACTAAAGGAGTCACCACGAGCTGAATGACCTTACGCGAGTCACTTCCCATCTCCGAGACTGGCTTCCTCATCCGAGGCTTCTGTCAATATATCCCCCAAGCCACCTTCAGTTCGGCAATTTCCCAGTTGCTCTTTACTCATCCCGGCTCATCCCGCGATAGCCCCTTCCCCAGCGAGACCCCAGCCTTTTGTTCCAGGGGTGAAGCGGGGAAGGGAGAGCTTGGCGACCAGGCCGGGGCGGCCTTGGCGCCTGGGGCCGCTCCCTGGAGAGTCGGGTCGGGGGAAGACAACCAGGCAACCCCGGGATGACCTCCTTCTCTCCGCGGTCCCGTGACAGCCGGGCCCGGGAGGCACCGCGCGGCGGGCAGCGAGCGAGGGGCTCCAGGGCAGCGCTGCGCCGCGGGCGGGGAGCTCCGGACACGAGCATGCGCGCAGCACCCCTGGCCCCGCCGGGGGTTCACTCCGCCCCGGGACGGGCCAGAGCGCCCGCCGCGACAGCTTATCCCCTGTCACTCGGGCGCCAACCCGGGCACGCGCGCGGAGCCACTACCTGCCGCCAGCCGTGCGGAGGACAGAACGGGACTCGTCTCTGGCCGGCTTCCCCGCCGCCGCCGCCGCCGCCGCCTCTAGGCTCCGGGCTCCGTCCCGCAGCACCAGTGCTTCAGGCGGCGCTGCTGCGGCCGCGCTGCGCCGGGTGCTGAGCTCGGCGAGCGTCGCTCCCTCCCGGCCGCCAGCTCTGGGGCTGCCGGGACGCGGAGGCGGGGCCGCCGCCCCCACCTGCTCCGCCGGCTCCTGCCCTGAAGTCGCCGCCGCCCAGCGCGCAGGGACGCGGCCCGGGCAGGCGGGGTCGCTCTGGAACCTGGGAGGCGGGTCCCAGCCACCGGGCGCGCCTCTCCCTGAAGGAGTGCCAAGTCTAAGCTGGGGAGAGAGTGGGCCCTAAGGCTGGAGTTCCCCAGATACGCGCGACACCCGGCCCAGTACCGCCAGGCTGCGGACATTCCACTCCTTTATCAGTTTATTCCAAAATATTTGGAACCCCTTCTGTGGTCCAGGCGGAGTCATAAGCAGTGAGGACAAAAGAGAGCAAGATCATCTTGTTCCCGGAGCTCACGGTCTAGAAAGGGAAACGACTAATAGATACACTGCAGAACCGAGAGGGAGTGGTCTCAGAGGGGGCCCTGAGCCAGACTTGGGGAGGTCAGGGGAAGTCCCCTCGAGATGCCGATGGCTAAGAGAATTGAAGGATGAGCATGAAGTAGCCGGTTGGAGTGACCTGGGGAGATAGATTGTCCCAAGTGGAGCCGACTGTGTTTGCAAACTGAAGTGTCTGAGGAGCCGAAGGAACTTGGGATGACAAGTAAAACCCTTGTCACACTTGACTTCAGGCCCCTGGGAAGACGCAGAAAGTTTGTGTCTGAGGCGAATGCTTATTTGTTTGGTGAGCACTTAAAGTCTCCCACATCCTGCTAGTGGAGGAACTAAGAGACTCATGGACCATTCACTGCGCTGCCTCTGAACATCTATGAACCAGGCACTCTGCCGGGTCCTTAGGATGTGCTGCTGAAGGAGGCAGAAAGGAGCTAGTAGTCTGGAGTGGAGGAGAGACCTGTACTCAGCGCTGTGTCAACACTTGGATCAGGTGCGTGGGAACACAGGTGAGACAGCAGTTAATGCTGGGAGGGAGGAGGATCTCACACAGGGATGGCAGCCTGTCTACAGGTTCAGATTCTGTAGCAGATGCTGTCAAAGTATGTTCCCCAAGCAGTCCTTAACTGGTTTCTTAATTACTAGTGTTTACAGGCTGACAATGTGTAGGCTTATATTTAGAGTAAGGATAAATAATTCACTTCTCATGTCTTCCCTGTGTTGTCAAGAACAACTTCCCTATGTTTGATTTAGGTGAAGAAGATGTAGGAAGTGGAAGCCAATAAGGTACTTGCTTCCCACCTGTTTGTCTTGTGTGACTCCTATCCTTCCTGCTTTAGAACCATAATAAATGGGCAAGAAGACATTTCCATGAGCTCAGAATTCCTACCAAGTCTTCTGCTGAGTGGTCCAAGCAGGAGCTAGTCAAATGCAAAGGCTGTTATCTTAAAGGGATAGGTATGGCTTGGATCAAATAATTATTGGAAAATTATTGAAAAGGGTGGGGAAATTGTGAGTGAGGAAAATATTTGGAAAGTGGGGACATTTGGGCTGAAAGCTTCAGGTACCCAAGGCCTCCTATCCATGCGAAGTGACTGTGCCATTGGTGTCTTGTTTTAATGGACATTAGAGAAAGATCCATTCCCCCCTGGTTCTACCTTAGCTATAGTCATAACTACAGCACATAACTACAGGACAGCACTAGCTTTGTCAGGTGGATGAATCAGGCATATGTCAGAGATATTGCAAGTTCAGTTCACGACCACTGCAGTAAAGCCAGTATTGCAATAAAATGAGTCACATGAACTTTTGGTTTCCAACATATAAAAATTATGTTTACACTATGCTATACTTGGAGAAGGCAATGGCACCCCACTCCAGTACTCTTGCCTGGAGAATCCCATGGATGGAGGAGCCTGGTGGGCTGCATGCAGTCCATGGGGTCGCGAAGAGTCGGATACGACTGAGCGACTTCACTTTTACTTTTCACTTTCATGCATTGGAGAAAGAAATGGCAACCCATTCCAGTGTTCTTGACTGGAGAATCCCAGGGATGGGGGAGCGTGGTAGGCTGCCGTCTATGGGGTCACACAGAGTTGTACACAACTGAAGTGACTTAGCGGCAGCAGCGTACTATACTTTATTAAATATGCAATAGCATTATATCTAAAAAAGGACACAGCTTAGTTTAAAAAAATTATTGCAAAAGAATTGCTAAGCATCATCTGATAATGCAAGGTTGCCAAACCATAAATCTGTAAAAAATGCAATATCTTCTAAGTGAGTCACCTGCCCAGTAGCCAAACCACTCTCCCTTTCCTCCCTATTAACATTACTGAGGTTTATGATTGTGGTCCAAGACTACTGGGACAGTCCCATTCCTGATTTTCCAGTCTTTCTTGCAGCTAAGGAGGTCATTGACCAAGTTCTGTCAAATGAGTTGAAAGAGGGTATTGACGGGGTCATTGAGAAATCTTTTGCTGACTCTGACCTTCTGTCCCCCATGTTTCTGATGCCTTGAATGCAAATGAGATAGCTAGTGATGCCGCAACTAGAATACAACATGGGCATGTTGTAATCAAGAGAATGAACATGAGGCCAAAAAAGCCAATATAATCAGAATGTCACAGGATGACAGAGTGGAAAATAGGGTCAGTGTGTATAGTACTGCTGGACATTCAAATGAAATCCAGCAACAGCCCATCTCTGAGCATTTTATTATGTGAGAAAAATAGTCCCTGAGACTAAGTTTTCTATTCCTTGTGGCCAAATGTATTTCTGACTGATACTGTGGCCTGGTAAAGGACAGACATCTCTTTTCCTGCTCACCAAATGCCTGCAATAACTCACCTTTCACACCTTCTACTTGTAAACTTATATTTATGTCTGCCATGACTTATTGAGCTCTTTAGGTGAACAACATTATAGAAATCATAAATGTTTTGCACCTATATCCATATCATTTTGTCAAGTATTTATACAGCAGCTATTAGATGGTGATCATGTACTGGTTCTGGGGGTGCTAAAATGGATTCACAGCTCTTCCTCCAGGGAACTAACAGCTTAGTAGAGGATATAAGCTCATAAATTGACTTTTACAGTTCCCTGGATAGAGGTAATACAGAGGAAATGATGAATACTGCCTGATGGGAGGGAAAGGGAGATAGTAACAACCTGAACTGGGCTTCTATGAATGAACTGGAGTGTCACATCAGAAACTGGGGAAAGGAAACCATTTCAGGAAAGAGAAAGTCTGAAAGATCTTGGTAGACCAGGAGCCTCAAATTCCACATGTCTGAAATTGAATGCATGGTTTTCCTACTAAACCTGACCCATTCTTGGTTTTGCCCATCTCCCCATCCATCCAGCCCAACCACCTGGCAACTCCTTAGCTCGCTTTCACTTGTAGTACATCCCCTTGCTGAATCTCAGCTCTTGGCCCCATCTGGTTCTACCCTTTTGCACCAGTACCACCTGATATCAGAGCCTACTGCCTCTCTCCATGACCTCCACAGTAGCCTCTTAGCTGGTCGTTCTTCAACATCCTTCTTCTCTCTGCCAAACCACTCTTTATAGTGGCCAGAGATGGTCTTGAAACTCGAAGCTGATCTTCTTGCTATCTGTAATTTAGTGATTTTGCTTTGCTCTGACGATAACTGAACACCTAAGCACAGCGCTGATGATAACAGAGATCCTGAGCTTTCTCTGAAGGCACTCACACTCTCCAACACAATTTGCTTAGCCCTCTCCCTCCATCTCTTTACTCCAGTCATGTTAGCCTCCTTTCAGATCCTTGAATCGGTAATGTTCTTTATTGTCACAAGCCCTTTGCACATGCTTTTCCCTCTTTGAAGAAAACATTCCCCAAATGAACTTCTCCTCATTTTTCAGATCTCATCTAAACTCAGTCATCACCTACCTGGAACTTGACAAGGTCAACTTCCACGTAAGAACTCATAATCCCATGTAACTTTCTGTTGCATCATTTATGCAGATGTGATGATGCCATTATTGATACAATGATTTGATTAACATCCATCTCCCAGACCAGACCATGGTATCTGTGACCTCAGGAACTATCTCAGTTCCCACTGTATCCTTATTTCACAGCACCGAGACTAGAACATAGTAAGCATGTTTTTGTTGAGTTATGAAAGAAATGAACCAATGAGGGTTAGAGTCTTGAACTGTGTATTTGAGAGTCTATATATTTTAAAACTTTTAATATCAACTTTCAGTTCAGTTCAGTTCAGTCACTCAGTCGTGTCCGACTCTTTGCAACCCCATGGACTGCAGCACGCCAGGCCTCCCTGTCCATCACCAACTCCCAGAGTTCACCCAAACCCATGTCCATTGAGTCAGTGATGCCATCCAACCATCTCATCCTCTGTCATCCCCTTCTCCTCCTGCCCTCAATCCCTCCCAGCATCAGGGTCTTTTCCAATGAGTCAACTCTTTGCATCAGGTGGCCAGAGTATTGGAGTTTCAGCTTCAACATCAGTCCTTCCAATGAACACCCGGGACTGATCTCCTTTAGGATGGACTGGTTGGATCTCCTTGCAGTCCAAGGGTCTCTCAAGAGTCTTCTCCAACACCACAGTTCAAAAGCATCAATTCTTCGGCGCTCAGCTTTCTTTATAGTTCAACTCTCACATCCATACATGACCACTGGAAAAACCATAGCCTTGACTAGACGGACCTTTGTTGGCAAAGTAATGTCTCTTTTTTTTAATATGCTCTCTAGGTTGGTTATAACTTTCCTTCCAAGGAGTAACTGTCTTTTAATTTCATGGCTGCAATCACCATCTGCAGTGATTTTGGAGCCTAAAAAAATAAAGTCTGACACTGTTTCCACTCTTTCCCCATCTATTTTCCATGAAGTGATGGGACCAGATGCCATAATCTTAGTTTTCTGAATGTTGAGCTTTAAGCCAACTTTTTCACTCCCCTCTTTCACTTTCATCAAGAAGCTGTTTAGCTCTTCTTCACTTTCTGCCATAAGGGTGGTGTCATCTGCATATCTGAGGTTATTGATATTTCTCCCAGCAGTCTTGATTCCAGCTTGTGATTCCTCCAGCCCAGCGTTTCTCATGATGTACTCTGCATATAAGTTAAATAAGCAGGGTGACAATATACAGCCTTGATGTATATTTGGATATATATATATATATTTCCTTTTCCTATTTGGAACCAGTCTGTTGTTCCATGTCCAGTTCTACCTGTTCCTTCCTGCCCTGCATACAGGTTTCTCAAGAGGCAGGTCAGCTGATCTGGTATTCCCATCTCTTCCAGAATTTTCCCACAGTTTATTGTGATCCACACAATCGAAGGGTTTGGCATAGTCAATAAAGCAGAAATAGATGTTTTTCTGGAATTTTCTTGCTTTTTCGATGATCCAGTGGATGTTGGCAATTTGATCTCTGGTTCCTCTGCCTTTTCTAAAACCAGCTTGAACATCTAGAAGTTCATGGTTCAATATAAACTTTACTGAGAAGTAATTTATATATGCTAAAATACAGTCATTTTAAAAGCCAACAAATATGTACCCTGATGTAACCACTACCCGTATCAACATACAGACCATTTCAAATACCCAAAAAAGTTCCCTTAGGCCCCCTTTGCAGCCAGTCCCTACCCCCAGTCCCAGGAAACCACAGAACGATTAATATTGATTAGTTTTGTCTTTCTTTTCTAGAGCTTTGTATATTGAACATACATGATGTATTCTTTTGTGTCTGACTTTTTTCTTTGCTCAGCATAATGTATTTGACCTTCATTTGTGTGTGATCTATTCCTATTTATTGCTGGCTAGATTTCACTGTACTATGGATATGCCAGTATTTGTTTATCCATTCACCTGTTGGTGGACATTTGTGTTAATTCCAGTTTTAGAATGTTACAAATAAGTTGGCTTTGAATGTTTATAAATCTTTTGTAGATAAACGTTTTTATTTCTTTTGGGTAAATAACTAAGAGTATAGTTTTAAGAATCATAAACATTTAAAGATAAAACCTTTGAACCACAATGAAAAACTACTTCACACCCGATACCATAATTTGTAAAAAAATAAAACAGCAAGATGTGAAGAAGTTGGAACCCTCATACACTGGTGGTAGGAATGTCAAATGGTGCAGGTGCTGTGGAAAGCAGTTTCATGTTTCCTCAAAAAGTTAAACATGGAATTACCATATGATCAAGAAATTCCACTTTTAGGCATATACTGAAAAGAGTGGAACACAGGAGTTCAAATAAAACTTGTATCTGAATGTTCATAGCAGCACTATCCACAATAGCCAAAGGGTGTAAACAACCCAAATGTCCATCAACAGATGAACGGGTAAACAAAATGCCATATATCCATATAATGGAATATTATTTGACAGTGAAAAGAAATGAAATATTGATAGATACTACAACATAAATGAGCCTTGAAAATATTGGGCTAAGTGAAAGAAGCAGATACAAAAGACCACATACTGTTTAATTCCATTTATGTGAAATATCCAGAATAGGCAAATCCATGGAGACAGAAAGCAGGTTAGTGGTTTCCAGGGTTTGATGAGAGGGGTGAACAGTATATAACTGCTTACTGTGACCAGGGTTTCCATCTAGGGGATAAAAATGTTCTGGAATCAAATAGTTGTAATGATAGTACAATTATGAATGTATTTAATGTACTTAATGCCACTGAATGTTATACTTTAACATGGTTAAAAGAGTAAATTTTATGCTATGTCTATTCTACCACAATAATAATGGTGATGATGATAAGATACAACTTTAGAGAGTGTGAAGGTCGTGGGCAGTGGTTCCCATCTCTGTAAAGCCTGCTTTACCACTCCATGCATCACAAGCCCTGTTTGGCTGAGAGAGGGGCTATCTGTTAGATAGAATTCAGCCAGGAGTCTTCCGTGCAAGTTTCTGCACAGGGAGGAGCCTCCGCTTTGGTGAAAGTAAGAGTTGAAAGGCATCACATTCCATTGCTTAACATCAGGCTGGGGCTGACTCCTGCAGGTTCCTGGCTGAGAAACGACTTCAGGAGCACAGCACATGAAAGAGAGCAGGCAGTTCTATTTAAACAGAAACACTGTTCCGAAGGGTGACCAAGGGAAAATAGTTCACTCCCTGTAGCTGCAGTTTAATCCCTTCATTTCGCCTCCCCAAATTCCACTGTTCTTTCAGAATGTGCTACTAACACCAAAAGGTTGAAGTCTACCTTCTTTGCTTCTGGAGTAAGAAGAGAGGAAGTTAGAGTCCCATGGTGGACACAGGGTTTTACTGAACTTGCAGAGAAAGAGGAGCCAGCCTAGAAGGTGGAGGGAGAGAAGGGAAAGAGAGAGAGGAAAGAGCCTGGAGAGAAGGGGGTGCTGAAATCAAGGAGAGCCAAGACCTGGCTGAGAGTCGTGCTGCACAGAGGTCCCACACAAGGGCCAAGAAGAGTGACAGTGGGAGGTGGTCAGTTACCCTAGCAATTGCAAGTTCAGTGAGTAGGACAAGCAGAGCCTGAGTCAGTGGGTGGAAGGATAAGAAGTGGCTGAGGGAGTGTGGACCGTACACTCCCTTGAGTGTACACTGTTTTTTCAAAAACTTTGACCAAGAAGAGGAGAGAGAAATAATTAAATCTTGAGGAGAAGAAAGAATTCAGGGAGAGTAGAGACTCTATCATGTTGTAGGTTAAGAAAAAGACCCAACAGAGAAAAGGGTTTCAAGATTTAGGAAAGCATGGGAGTTGAAAATGGAAGACGGATTTTTCTGAAATCCCTCTGTAGACCCATTCTTTAAGAAACTGAGAAAGGATTTGCTGTACAATAATTTCACAAAGTTTTCAAAACCTTTCATTCTTCTAAGTAAATAATATAAAGCAGTATTAAAAAACTTTGATCTCGGAGACAAAAGATGTGGATTCAAGCTATTATCAAGTGGCTGTGTGGTGTTCACTAGTTCAATAGCTTGTTAGATCTTCAAAATCTTAATTCTTTCATCTACGAAAGGGGGCAGTAGTTTCTGCCATGTCTCAGAGTTGTTGTCTAATACCAAGTGGTGAATTCCATGAAATTCGTAAAATTGAAAGCATTTTGTTGTACTGCTAGGACCACAGAAAGGTGAAGGACTTTACCTGTTTTACTGTACTATATTTTAAATTAATCTGCAGTCACTGGAAATACCAACTAAAAGATAATTATTTAAAATGAGAAATGTTACTGATAACAGTTCTCAGCTTTACAAACTTCCTTATGCTATTTCAAATTATTTCCCTTTATCAACAAAAAAGTCACCTTCTTTTACGCTTTGGGTAAAAAGGACAGTCAGTGTGGTAAAGGAAGAAAAGGATAAAAGACCTTGTGGATCCCCTCCTCATTTCTGTCCTGGTCTGTCACACTTCTGTGAAGATTAGTTTTCTTCATCTGGCTTTTATTCGCTCTTTTGTAGCCAATATGGTCCATTATCCTAAAGGAAAACTCTGTTTTCAACTTCTTTGTTGAAATTAGCATCTGGGTTATATTATTACAATTTACTAAGGACTTTCGTCAGTGTTATTATAATGATCAGCCTTACAAGCTGAGAGTTTGGTCACCATATTTTAGTTGATAAATGGAAGCTCAGAAGTTAGTGGGCTTATGAAAGTCTCAGGGCTGGTAAGGAGTACAATTGTGAATGGAAACCAATCCTAGGCCACAGGATCTCAGGTCGCTGCCCCACACAGTGCCTGGTGTAGAACACATTCCCCGAAGGCATGACTAGATGAATGGCTCATTCCTATTCCAGCTTAGTTCTGCCTTATGCAACTACCTGCTTCATGGTAAGAGCCGTCATGCCATCCTGGAAGCCTTTTAAAATATATTTTATCCTCTTCTGGAATTACTTCTTCCTTAGGCTGCATTGCACAGCATGCAGAACTTCCCTGACCGGGGACTGAACCCATGTCCCCTGTGGTAGAAGCAGAGTCCTAACCACTAGACCACCAGGGAGGTCCGTGGGATTACTTACTTCTGTTAATGGCACTAACACTCACCGATTCTTTGAGGCCAGAAACCTGGGTCATTCTTCCTGTCTCCCTAACCACCACCACCACCACCACCTGATCCATCCCAAAACCACGTCCATTCTGCTTTCCCGACACCTTCTTTACCTGGTCATTTCCTTCCATCGCTGCTCGAGTTCAGAGCTGGCCCACTGCCATCATCTCTGAACTGGTGTCTCTGGCTCCAGTGTTCTCCCAGCTCCTCCCAACTGTTTCTCCTCTGTATCCGCAGAGATCTTCAGAAAGTGAAAATTTAATTATCTAATTTGCCTCCTTAAAATCCTTCAGTTGTTCTTGTTTGCTTTGGAGGTAAAGCCTAAATAACTTAGTATTACATATGAAGTCCTGCAAAATTTACCCCCCCGCCCCACATCATCTCCCATTTCTCACCTTCCCTCTCCATATTACATGGTGTGCCAGCTCTCCCAAAGGACTTGGAACCCCTCAGATTCACCCTGTGCTCTCCTGACTCTGCCCTCCCCCAAGCCTTTTTCTTGTCTTGGAATACGTTTTTCCTCCTTGTTACCTGGAGAACTCCTCCTTATCCTTCATGTGAATGCTTCCTTACCCTAGGGAAGCTTTCTGAATCCTCTGGGGAGACCAGTGGCCCCTCTTCTGAGTATTTAATGCTCTCTTCCTCTACTTGAACTGCAGCACTTAAAGAACGTTGTCGTAGTTTTTGATTTATTTGCTAATACCCTTAAGGGCAGAAGTGGTGTCGTTGTCCCAAGACCACCAGCACCTCGCACATTAGTGTCTTATAACAAGTCAGTACTCAGTAAATGTTTAATTGAGTAATTAATTAGCGAAAAAATCTAGCCCTCTTTTTTCATCTGTCCAGGAAAGATTCTGTAACCAAAGGACAACAGCTTAGAAGTGACAAGTCTGCTAAAGTAGATGTTTTCTTTCTTTTTTGGGTGATAAAGAACTCTGGCTAAACCTGCCCTGGTGTGAAACTGTGAGGCAGTTTGGAACAAAATGATGGAATAAGAAAGATAGTTCTGAACAATTGCTGGGTCAGACCTCAACTTTATGGCTTTGTTATTCTGTTTCAAATGGTGCAAACTTTTGAACAAGAGCCACATGCATTTCAAGTGTTAAAAAAAAGGTAGCCCAGGTTAAATAAATGCACTGTAACAATTTCTGCCATTTTGGGTAGGCTGTGTTTGTCCTGCCATAACAGAGACAAAGGTGAGCTAGAGTTGTTTGTTCTTGAAAGTCCTGGGGCTCTGCATGCTAAGATGATAGTGGGGGCTGGTATGTGACATGGTGTTAAATTGCTACCTAACGGCCACAAAGGAGAGTGGGCTGCTCTGTCTGAAAGGTCAGCCAGTCAGGAAGGTGACACAGCCCAGCCTTCCTTGGTTAATTCTTAGAAACCTTAGTATTCCTCTTTTCACATCTCAGGATAACAAGTTCGAATATAAGATTAGCTGTTTCCTTGCCATCGAAAAGACTGGTATTTCTTTTTTCCCCCTGGTGCTGGTATATCTTAATCAGAGCCAACATAAGGTTGAAGGGAGATACTGACTCGTGTAGAAAAAAAAGAATAGCATACTTGTCTAATAGCATTGCCTACCAAGTCTCCATAGCTTAGTAAGAATAAAAAGACTGAGTCCTGAAATCACTTGGAAAGAGGTGATCATGAATCAAAGTACATCTCAATCAGCTGAAAGAGTTTATCCTTCTTGGCTATTCAAGCGAATAGTAAGAAAGCACCTAGTGAAGATGGGAGAGGAATGACGCTGGAAAAGTCTGCTGAGGAATAAAACCCCAGCAGGGAGGCCCAATTATGATACCAAAAGCCATGTGATACAGCTCAGGGGAAAAAATGCATAGGAATAGGAGTTTCAGGATGTAACTCCATGCACCCAAAATTCACATTACAACACAGAAGAAGTGAACGGGTGGGAGATAGGCTGGAAATTCCTTCAGCGTCATAAATAACTGTTCGTTGTCTTGAGAAAAGGAATTGGAGGGGTGATGGGGAAGCCAAATTCTCTGAGGGGGAAAAAAAAATAACTAACATTGGTTAAACAAGCACCATTCTAAGTGCTTTACTGTGTCTGAGTGTCAGTTCACTCACCCTCACAAGAAAGATGGGTTCCACCCTGTGACCTCTGCTCTAGCCACCGCCCTACATAGGTTCTGAGATCAGAGCTCAATGGGCTGTCAGACATGTGGGCAAAGACCATTAGTCTCCTTGCCTTCCTCCCTCTCTCCCAGGCAGGCAGGAGATATACTTCTTTGGCTTTAAATAGGAAAAAAAAGTTCTATTTGAATTTTTTTTTAATTTTGCTTTTAATGATAAAATATTTTCTTGGTTCCCCTGTAGGGAGAATTCAGAAAACAGAAAATTACAAAGAAGAAAATTTGCAAATAACCTATAATTATTCTACAATACAAATAAGCACAGATGATGCTTTAATGCACTTTCCTGAAACACACACACACCCATCCATATACATAACATGTATATACAACACATGTTCTGTTTTTTTTTCACTTAACACTACATCATGAGCAAATTTCCTTGTCATTACATACTCCAGTAGTAAAATGGAGGGACCCAGGCAACTGAAACTTGGCTGTGATTCACTCCTTATTTTAAAAGTCAACCTGTGAGTGACATTACTCTTAAGGGCAACTGATTCTCAAAGTCTAGCTTTTGTTTGGAAGAAGACTGAGGACTAGCAGTCACTCATGTGTGGAAAATATGTATCTGTACAATGAAGAGACATTTCACTAGGTGTCAAATCACAGCTGAGCAAAGAGAAAAGAAGGATGGAGCTCAGGTCTGGCAGAATGTAAGCCCACTTATTCTTTCTCCTTCTTGGGAGTCATCACAGAACTCTGACTTAGCCAGTGAAATGAAGGAGAAAGATGATGTGGCTCTTATTTTGCTCACCTCTGTCACACACATGGGGCTTCCCAGGTGGTGCTAGTGGTAAAGAACCTGCCTGCCAATGCAGGAGACGTAAAAAATGCGGGTTCGACCCCTGGGTTGGAAAGATACCCCAGAGAAGGAAATGGAAACCCACTCCAGTATTCTTGCCTGGAGAATCCCATGGACAGAGGAGGCTGGCGGGCTACAGTCCATGGGATCTCAAAGAGTCAGCCATGACTGAAGCGATAGCAAGCACACACATCACACACATACTTTAAACACCCTTTAACTGTTGTCCAGTTGTTATCCACAAAGAAAAAACTTTCTGGGCTTCCTCAATCAACTCTTTCAGAGAGGAAGAACATAAAGGAAAGTCTGGGTACTTTGGCACATGTAAAATAACACAGTACATACACACTCCGCTCTCTTTATCAGCCCAGGAAAATACATCAGTAGCTGGATTTCTTAGTGACAAACTTGCATAGTGAGTTTTCAAATACTCCTTACCTTTGGAGAGATGTTCTGTTAATTTTCTCCTTCTCTGATTCAGTTTGACAGATTCTTTCCCTTCATAGTTTATCTCATTAATGGCTTTTGGCTGCTTTTTGTTTTTTTCATGAACAGTTAAGCTGGGTTTCTAAGGACCCAGGAATTTAATAGTTCGGTACTTAATAAACCATTCCAGTGAAACTTTTGTTCTAAGGACTTCAAACTGAATCAGTGAAACAGGGACAGCAATGTCCTCTGTGTGTGTGTGTGTGTGTGTGTGTGTGTGTGTGTGTGTGTCTTCTCTCTGGTTTCCACCTTCCTGAGTTAAAATGACATTTATTGTTGGTGCTGAGATTGAGATAGTCTTTGAAAATAAAAACTTTGATTTCTGGAAGCCACAGAATCAGTTGATAGTAGTATTCAATTCCTAATAAGGATAAAATTAATCCAGATTAATTTGTTAGTTTATTTCATTTATTAATTTATCTCTCAATAATTTCATTGTGGGACATGACTAAGGTAGTTTGGATAATTCAGTGAAAGGACAGCAACATGTTATTTGTTTTCATATTTTAAAAATTGATTTTTAAATCAAAGTGATAATGTGGATAAGTTTAGAATTAGTGCTAAAAAGCTTATATGAAAAAATGGAATTTCCTTACTCCAACTCCCACTTTCCTCTTCTGCAGAAGCAACCACTCTCAAATATTTTAGCTTTTTTTTTTTTTTACTATCTACTTCCATATTTTAAATAATATACATAAAATACCATTGCTTAATTTATTGTTTTAGACATTTTCTTCTAATTTCTGTCAAGGTAGATGAGGATTTAGCTTTTGCATTGCTTATATTTTAATTCATTTATTTGTATTTATTGTTAAATCATATGCCCTTCTCTAGTTTCTTGGTACAAATTTCAGATAATCTATGCATTCCATCCTCCTACTCCAAGCTGGGCTGGTTGCTTCCTGGGCCTGCTAAGCAACTGCCATCTTGGGAAATCTCTCACCCTTCCTCCCATACTGGATTTCCTGTTTCCTGGGATCCACATTTTCTTCCTTCTTTCTTCCTAGCAGATTCTTCAGTAGTTGAGACTTTACATATTTAGTTGTTAGTTTTGCCAAGTATGGATCTCTAGGATGTGTTCTTTAAAATGTCGATGTACTGACTCACTGTCTTCCAGCTAACAATCGTGCCATAGGCGAATTCATTGCTGTTCGTAGCCCTGGTTCTTTTTTGGGAACTTCCCTCAAGTCTTTTTTTTTTGCCCATGCTGCCCTTTTGGGATCTTAGTTCCCTGACCAGCGATCAAACCTGGGCCCCCTGCAGTAGAAGCCCAGAGTACTAGCAACTGGGAATTCCTAGGGAATTCCTAGGGAATTCCTTCAGATCTTCTCTTTGTATTGAGTAATCTGAAATCTTTTAAGGTGGGCTTTGGAGGGATCCTTTCTCATTCATTATGATTGATAATTGATAGTTCATCTATGGATAGATATGATTTCTTTGTACCAATTCTGACACTTCTTCCTATTCTTTTTTCAATTCATCCTTCATTTGTTGTTGTTCACTTACTGAGTCATTGTCTGACTCTTTGCAGCACTGAGGACTGGACTGCAGCACACCAGGGTTCCCTGTCCTCCACACTCTCCCAGAGTTTGTTCAAATTCTGTCCATTTTGTCAGTAATGCCATCCAACCGTCACATCCTCTGCTGTGTCCCCTTCTCCTTTTGCCTTCAATGTTTCCCAGCA